GCAGGCAAAGGAGGAAGACAAGCACTAGCTGTAGGGACCTGTGCAGTGAAGTTCATAGCAGTTAAGTTTTCTAAAATGAATAAAATGTTGTTGTCAATGTACAGTGCCTGCTTTCTAATAAAAGTATCTGTGGACCCAGTGCCTGTAAGCAACATTACCACAGAAGTAATCATTTAGCACAGAAGTGTGTTTTTCTTTTTTCTTTTTTTTCTCCAGGAACTCAGCTTGCTCAGGCCTCCAAAAAGGTGTCTTTGTGAGCCTGATTGTGAACAGTACTGACATACACACGCTCTGAAACAGCACATGTTGAGTTCAGGCCTGGTGGCACAAGAACATGAAGTGTGCCCCTCTTTGCACACTTTTTTTTCTTGTGGATGGAGAGCTCTCTTGGGAACAGACATGATGTTAAGAGCAGATTTTAGAGGCTGTTTATTCACTCCACCCTTCACTGAGATTTTACTCACAGCATTGGCCAGCCAACTGCACATATCCTACGAAGCAATCAGAGTTATTTTTTCGTAGTGTTTGATTAAAATGATTGCAGGGCATTCATATGGTCAAAGCGGAATTTCACTGATTTATTTTAAAAACAAACTCTATAAATCAGTAATTGAGATGTAAATAAAGTCATACAGAGTGGTTTGATGTGAAATTGTAGAGAAACTTTCCAACTTGGATTTCTTTACAAGCCTACATGTGTCTTCTGAGTTTTTAATATGTAATGTTGATAATGGTAGGGTAAATCTTTAGGTCTAATTTATGGGTGTTATTTTGCCTTACATCACCCTGCATTCGCCTATCAAGCATGAATGACTTTTAAAAAATACATTTGGCCAAAACGTTATCTCAAAACTAATGTGGAACAAGGTCTTAGGCATCAGGCAATGTATTTGTAACCATTTTGTGCAATAACTTTCCTTTAGGTAGCTTTGAAAAGCTTTAACTGCTTTGGATGTTTGGTTCTTATTACTATCATTGAAAAACTTTCAGGAATTTTTCTGGAATGGTGAATTTCACCTCAAACCAGTATGATTTTTTTTGTTTATATCATAACAGTTTAATTTTGAGGAAGGCTTACCACATACACTATTATTGGATTAAGAATAATATTTTGTTAATAGTAGTTTTTCAGACAAAACTTTCTTCATGTGACATTGGTCAGATATGTCAGAGGTCTTCTTTTTTATAATCTTTTTGACTAAAAATACCATAAGCTGCGGTATTGTGCATGGTTCTCTAACACATTCAATAAACACCTAAACGAACCTCACAGTGAACAAGTTAACTATTATTAGGACAGGGCTTTGAACACTGGAACACATATCAGACCAAGAAAAAAGATAATGAGAAGCAGTATACCAGCATTATCTCACATTCTGAGTAATGCGGTTAAATATAATGTCTTGATGTTTATCATTATATTGATATAAATTTGGAAAGAAGAATGCTAAATTATGAATAATCTTTATGTTATTGAATATGAATATTAACAATGATCTATGGCACCTTTCATTAAGTACCCCTGTTTGTATCTACACTCACTGTCCATCTGTTTTTCTGCATACCCTGTTAGCCCCCTTTTACCCTGTTCTTCAATGGTCAGGAGCCGCACTGTCCACCCTATTAGACACACCTACCTTGTTGGTCCACCCTGTAGATGTATAGTCAGAGACAATAGCTCATTTGTTGCTAGTTTGCCACAGGATATTTTTGGTTAGTGGACTGTTATCATTCCAGCAGTGACACTGAGGTTTGTAAAAACTTGAGCAGCACTGCTGTGTCTGATCCACTCAGACCAGCAAACACACACAACTGCGATGGCCCTTTATTTCACTGACCCAGAGAACGCAACATTTATTATTTTGATAACAATCTGAAAGGTTGACTCGTTGGATCATGATACACGTTTCCACTGTGCATCAGTCCATTTTAGATGAGTTTGAGCACAGAGAACTCGACAGCGTTTCTGTATAATGTAGACATATGGCTTCCACTTCGCACAGTACAGTCTTAACTTGCATTTGTGGATGCAGCGACAAACAGTGTTTTCAGACAGCGGTTTGTCAAACTATTCCGGAACCTATGTGGTGATGCTTTTTATGCAGATGTTTCTGGATTCCCTGAATCTTTTGATAACATTATGCATCGTAGAGAGTAAAATATATCTAAAATCCTTTCAAGTGCTAATGTTAAACAGTTGGACTACAACTTTGTTTCCAAAAAAGTTGGGATGCTGTGCAAAATGCAAATAAAACCAGAATGCAAAAATGTGCAAATCATATGTTCTATTAAACACTACATTTAATTGAAAATAGTACAAAGACATTGTATCAAATATTAAAACTGAGACATTTCATTGTTTTTTTGAAAAATATAGGTCCATTTTGAATTTGACACCAGCAACACATTTCAAAAAAGTTGGGACAGAGCAACAAAAGTCTAGTAAACCTGTGTAATGCTAAAAAAAACACCTGGTGGAACATCTCACAACTACTTAGGTTAACTGGCAACAGGTCAGTAACATGACTGCGTATAAAAAGAGCATCCCAGAGAGGCAGAGTCTTTCAGAAGTTCACCACTCTGTGGAAGACAGAAAAATTGTGCAACAATTCAAGAATAATGTTTCTCACTGTAAAACAGCAAAGAATTAAGGGATCTCATCATCTACGTTACATTATGTCATTAAAAGATTCAGAGAATCCGAAGAAATCTCTGTATGCAAGGGACATGGCCGAAAACCACTAATGGTTGCTGTGATCTCCAGGCATGCAAGTTGCACTGCATTAAAACCAGACACAATTCTGTAGTGGAAATCACTGCATGGGCTCAGAAACATGTCTGAAAACCAGTCTGTGAACACAGTTCATTGCCGCATCCACAAATGCAAGTTAAAACTCTTTCATGCAAAGAAGAAACCATATGTGAACAGGATCTAGAAACACCACTGCCTTCTCTGGGCCCGAGCTCATTTAAGATGGACTGAGGTGAAATGAAAATGTGTCCTATTTTCTGTGAAAACTCCATTAATGCTAAATGATATATACAGGTTTTGGAGCAACATTTGCTGCCATCCAGAAAATTTATTTTTACAGGGAAGGCCTTGCTTATTTCAGCAAGAAAATGCCGAACCACATGCTGCACATATTACAACAGCATTGCTCTGTAGTAAGAGTCTGGGTGCTAAACTTGCCTGCCTGCAGTCTTGGGTTTCCCACCAAAAACATTTGGCATAATAATGAAACGAAAAAAATGACAGAGTAAACCCTGAACTGTTGAGCAGCTGAAATCCTATATCAAGAAAGAATGGGAAAATATTTCACTTTTCAAAACTATAGCAATTGGTTTCCTCAGTTCCCAAATGCTTACAGAGTGTTGTTAAAAGAAGAGGTGATGCAACACTGTGATAAACATGCCCGTCTCAACTTTTTTGAAATATGTTGCATCAAATTTAAAATGGGCATATACAAAACTAATAAAATTTCTCAGTTTCAACGTTTGTTGTCTTTGTACAATTTCCAATTTCCTGTTTTTATTTACATTTTGCACAGTGTCCCAACTTTTTTGGAAATAGGGTTGTACATGCTGATGGATTTTTTAGCAAGGTTGGTAAGCCTCAACCCATCATAAGGGCTAGGCCTTTTCTTGTATGCTCCTTTTATACCTGAGCAGGATTACATTGACTCTTTTAAAATGTTTTTGAACATTTAACAACATGAACGTTGCAAAAAGGATAAAACCTTTGGATGAGAACAACTTGGTTTATCAGAGGGCTCTGAGGAGAATGGCAAAAATCATACAAGCAAATAGAGGAGCCACAGTTAAATACATTACATCAAAATTCGTACTGGTGTTCTGAATATAATTTCAAAATGCATTACTTATCAAAGTTGCTGAACAGCTGAAGAACATGTTAGGTACCATCAGTGAAAAATCAGAAAGCATGTCTCCAGTGGGCATACTTGTTTTGGCCAAAATGCTGTACTCTTGTCTCATCTGATATTTTTTCCATCTTAGCTGGGCCACTCTCATGTTTTCTAGTAATGTAATGTAGTGTAATGTAATTCTACCATCAGAACACTTACATATTATTTCCTTATTTATGCATTTATGAATTTATCTCTGTAATATCTATAGAATCCTATACAAAAACATATGGATGTGAATAATCACGTGTTTTTTACATACTTCATGTTATTTTTCACATATGTTAAAAGTGTGTGATTACATGTGGAAAAATGTGTTTTTACATGTGAAAACATGATCATATATGAGAATGTGAAAAAATGTGTGATCGCATCTGCCATTTCAGGGCAAAACATGATAATATATTATTCAAATGATGGTACATGTGTTTACTTGCAAATGTTATTTTTAGACACTTAAAACTATAACATTTGAAATATATATGACTTTTCTGTAAGGGGTGTTGTAGTCTTCACACACAGAACTTTATATCAGGTTCACAGCCTGGCCAATGATCCCTTTTTGTTTATTTCATCTAGAAACTGTGGCAGCTATTATAATACTTCACAGGAAGAAAAAAGTAATTTCAAATTAAGTAGTTATTGTGTCCATTTCATGAGAATCATTTCATTTTTGCAAACTTGAAAGTTCCTTGTAGAGAAGGGTAAGGTTTTGGTTTTAAAAGTAAGCGGTTAGTATGACATCGGACTGTTACTGGAGATAGCTCTGACAGAATGGATTATACTCTTATCAAATGTCCTTACATGTCCTTTTACATGTTTATTTTCCTCTGTAATATTGTGAATATTCATACTATAACATTCAGCTCATGTCGTTATTAATAATAATAATTATGAAGTAGTCCACAAGTTTACTGTTTTAAAATAAATATTATTTTTACTAGACCCCTCCTCAATTTGGTGTGGGGGGGTGTGGGCGGGGTTGTGTGAGCGTGGCAAAAATAAACTGAATGACAAAAAAAGTCTTGAAAAAGGAAGGCAACGTTTCAGATATCAAACACATGCAAAACTCCTCTATATACAGCGAAGTCGTTGAAATTTGACTCACCTTGTTGATTACATACGTACATCTTCAAAATTAGCATAAAAAACCCTACCAGCAAGTTTGTTTCTAACCCTCACAGGCTCAGAGATTGCGAAGAAATTTGCAGAGCTCTCAACTGTCAGTCACAGAATGTCCCTGTAGAAGGCAAATACATCGATGGAGAGTGATTACAATGAAGAGGCAGATCGATGAAGTGCCAGACACGTTGTTTTTTTCTCCTTACGTGTGACGTAGGCCTCAGCAAAAGAGCGCAAACAGTGAACATTTCACTAGCAGCTCTCCGGAAAGCATCCACACACGCGCTCTCTTCTCGTCTTCTCAAGGTAAGGTTGGCTTCTCACAACAGACAGCTGTCGCGATAAAACACAGAACTGGATAAAATTATGACAAGCTTTTAAATGCAGTTTTACAATGTGTTTTTGTGAACTTTCAGGAAGGGTAACCTGAAAACGCGGTTCTAGTTTAATTCAGAGTTTAACGTTTACTCTACCTGGACTCAGCTTCAGATGAAACAACATTTTTAGATTTAGCGTGTTTCCAAGCGGTCAGACATTCTGAAGGATGTTGGTATGTTAATGATGGTTGCCATGATGCAGTTTCCATAGCCTACAGTGCGTCACTACCCACAAAACGACCAGAATGCTGTTGATCAGGTGATGCACATTTTGAACACATTAGTCATTAACATAACTTATGAAAATCCCTTAAGGTGTAAAGATGAGAGCTGTGTCGATGTGCAAGGTGAAGTGACAAACTAGGAGAGAGAGACAGAAAGAGTGTGTGTTGTTGGGGGAGGATCTGGGCGTGGGTTTAGTGTTATCTCACATTTCCGCTTTAAAATGGTCCGTGGCTCATTGATATCAGCTCGGAATTTCAATTAGTGCGCAAAGTTGGAAAACACCTTATAAAGCCTCAATCTTCACAACTTTATAGCCCAATCCTCTGCATGCAATAATAAAGAATACATCGAGTTTTAATTAGACAGAACAAACCAGCTTAATAAATCAAAATACGAACTGACTCTATTTAATTTATTTGACTCTCATGTTAAAGCAATTCAGTGGCTTCCCACAGTGGTCAATCTGAATTCATATAATTACTCTTATTAACATAGCCAGTTGTTTTCACATAGACAACTTCCCCTTGTTAATTCTCAGTGAATGATGAGACACCCTGGCTCCACAGCAACCAGTGAGTGTAGCCCACATTCTTATAAATGAAAAGCCTGTTTGTGGACCTTATGCAACGTCAGAATCTTCTTATGGAATAAGTGGGCAGGCAAAGTTTGTACAAAGAGCTCAGTTCAATATAGGCAAGTTTGAAGGAAAGGGATAGCTGGTTAAACAAATATTGGTGGTTGAGAGTGTGTAATGTTCTGCATTAAAATGAGCTGCTTTATCACATGAATGAAGTATTCTGCTGCTGTAAAGAGTTAAGCTTCTGTCACATTGGTGTAGCAGGATATTTTGCTTAAAAACCATTTCAGCTGCAACATGTTAAGATTTTAGAGTTTCTTTTCAGACTTTTGCTGAGGAAGATGTTCCACTTGGAATGGACGGGCCTCAAGTCACATTTCTGCTTGCTCTGGCATATATGCATCACATACTTTTATACCACCAGTTTGGCAAAGGGCCCTTTGCCAAACTGAAATAAAAAAAAATATAGGCTTCCTACAATTTGATCCCCTTCTTACACAAAAGAAAAGTGTTATCATGAATTTCTTCACATAATCTAATTGCTCTCTTTTGGTGGCAATGCGCTGGGGGTTTAATAAGTTACATAAACATTAACTTTGTTTCCTTAGTGTTTATCTCAGCTTACGCGTTTTTGCAGGGTTGGGTTTTACAATTTTCTTTCATGGAGTCAAAAAGGCTGATCAGGGCAATGTGACCTCCAGCCTGGTCATAGCAAGGCTGCCAGCATATGTTAATCCTACAGTTCTTTCCTTGTGACCTTTCCTTCCCCCTCACTAGTGCCATGCTATTGTAAATGGACAGCCTAGAGCCATGCAAGTGATTTCATGTTTAGCCTCCTCTCAGCCAGCCTCCTGCTTTGCTAAACTTCCCCACATGGGGATGTACTCCAAGGCATCTCAGCTATGCGCTGACCAGTTTGTGTCATTTGCAGTGCCACTTATGAGATTTAAAACAAAAGAAAAAGCCACAGGCCTAAATCAAATTCATTTGGCACATGTAGTACTTAGTTGTGTTGTTTTTTGCAGAAATATAACATTTGGCTGAATTATGGGAAGTCCTGGAGATTTTAAGCATAGTCTAGGGTGTGTAGCTGTTTAAAGCGTGAGTTATCTGATGGCACTAGGCCCTGTGGCTGAGAAATCACATGCAGTCAAAGTGTATTCATACTAGGTCAGTTTGATTGTGATAGTATGTTAAAACATACTTTTCCTACTAAGATTGAGGAAGCAAAGTGTACTTTGGACTGTGAAGCTGCATTGGGAAATGTAGGCATACAAGGGGATAAGGTAACATTGTAATATTAAATCCTGAGTAACAATGGAAGCAAGAATTTGCTATTTTTAATGAAAGTTATAACATGCCTTTGGCCTGTAGAATTTTTTGGGCACAAATGATCATGCAACAAAAAAACAATATTAAAGGAAAGCTCTACAGAAACAGTCATGTTTTGTCAGATAGTTTCAGTGGGATCCTTTTTGTGAATTTGGTTAGTCTATTTCTATATATAAACTACCTATTTGCATTAATCATGTAAGGGAACACATTGGAAGACACACTCAGTGGAAATGTGGAAGCAGGATGCTTACTCCTGCCCACCCAATGGAGTGGCGGGGGCAATATTCAGCCATACTGAGGGGTCTTTGTGTGAGCTAAGGTGGTGTGAGTGTGATGTCAAAACCCACAGAGTTGTAATTGAGATCCTCGATGGGTGGACTAGAGTGAACCTACCCCATTTACCACAGGGTGGAGGGGTGTCCTTTTTCAAACAAGTACTTTATTTGTGATATTTGAATATTTCTGTATTCAAATACACACAAAAATCACTTGAAATGTCCTGAGATGTCAGAAAGGACAGAGTTTTACATTATGGACTTCAAGAAGATTATGATTTGAAGAAGTTCCAGGCATGACAGGTTGCAACAGAATGTTCATATGTTATATTTAAACTAAGCTTAAATGTTTCCACCTTTGGATGAAATCTGTGCTTTCAACACATCCAGGTAGTTCTGCCCTGTCAAAGGCTCATTACCAAACCTAGAATCAAGGAATGGGGGCGTGTTTCCTCCAGCTACACAGAAATAGTGTACAGTACAACATTGCTGCAGCAAAAATTATTTATGTAAAAAACTTTCTGTTCCATGTGTTCAGAGTACTCAACTTTCTTTGTAAAATGTCCTGCTAAAATTTATGTGAAAGGTATTTTATTGTTGAAAATTTTAGAATTGAAAGGTAAGTTCTGTTCTTACCTAGCACTGTAAGACCATTAGCAATGTTGATTTAACATGGATAGCTTCTGTCTTGGAAGCCTTCTAACTGACTACATTATCTTACTGTATGTCATCATACTGTTATATTGGTTGCCAACTTGGCAATAAATTGATTACTGGACTTAATGTTATTCTTATTGATGGTATTTTTAATGTTTAAGCATCTTTACACTGTAGATCCATCACAGCTAGAAGAAGCTCACCCATAAATGTCATCTAGCATCTCTGAATGGCTTTATAGTTGGATGGCACAAAAATTCCAACAACACTTTGAAGACACTCCAAAAAAAGACGCCCATACACTGATCTGCTTGACAGATATTCATCATAGACCATTAAATAAGTTTATTTCACGCAGCTTATAAAACCCTGAAACAGGAAATCTATTTCAGTCTGAAATTTCAGAATAATACAATTAAACACTCAGCTCCACAGTTTTAAGAACTCTGCAGGAAGATGCTGGGGGATGTTGCCTTCTTCAGATTCTTAGACAGAGTTCTGGGTGCAGACACAGTTAGGAAGTTAAATACAAGAACCAGTTAAAATGTCTAAATGGTTTGTCCATATTTGTTCTATCTGTAAACAACAGAGTGAAGTTTACAATTCCTAGTGAGATCTTTCTTTTTGAAAAATAAGGGAGCTAAGACATGTAATCACTGAGCATATTCCATAAATTACATGTAAACAACCTGGCTTTATATTTCCCTGGAAGTTTTATAATGAAGTTATCCAATGCACTTAAGAAAAGAAAAAAGTATCAGTGTGTGTAATGGAAGTTCCTGACATCAGTGGTATGTACTACACCCGCAGGTTACATGTATGACATATGTAATTGAGACGATGAAGTCACCTCACTTTGCAGTAATTGTTAGAGGGCAAGGACACATGACCCTCAGGGAAATTCATGGAAATGTTTCAAATAGCCTCATTTGACAAAGTGGTTAAGACTATGAAATGGTTTTTCAGTTATGCGGTCTTTGGGGCCAGTTTTAAACATGGTAGAATGTTAATGTTAAAGAAGTGCTTAGTACTGCACTCTGAATAAGACAATGTGGACTGCCTGGTAAAGGTATGATAAATGTTTAAGTAGCTTTGAGAAATGTAAATGTGAATTATACTTGTTCCTAAAAACTAAACAATCTATGAAATTACACATATTGTACTGCATATAAACTGGTTTTGAAGTGACCAGCACCATGGTCTTCCCTCAGTCTCTTTCTAAATCTGTTCTTTCTGACTGATGGCTCATTTCAGGTCCCCTCTGAGAGAAGTTCTTCTATACAATACGTCATTCCTCCGGTGAAGACAGATGTCATGGTCTTCAAAAGATGCACCTTGTTTAAAAGTGGAAATTATCATTGACTGATGAGTAGATTAGGGGTTGACTGTTTTTTTAGAAGACAAACACTATGCTCAAGTGCTATCCTTTACAAAGTAAGTTTTTCACGTGTGGGCCTATTTAGAGGTTAAGATGATAAGCCGTTTTTTGACTACTGCCTAAGAAAAGCACACTTATCAGCACTGAAGCTAGGATGGTTTAACTTGATTTAAGTGTGTTTTGAATATCATTCACTGCAGATGTCTTAAATTGCAACAAGGGTCTGTTGAAAGGTCTTTCATTGATTTAAACCTGGTTCAGTACACATGCAAGAACAAGTTATTGATCAGTGATAGCAATCATTCAGTGACCAGCAGAATGCAAGTAATATCTTCTTTTTTGGGCTAGAATGCTAATAAAACTACTTAGCAATGAAATATGTCATAATATAAATATGTATTTGGATAGATTAAACACTTACAATCTGATTATTTCTTCTTAAATGTCTTGACAGCATTATTTTTCACAACCTATGACTGGCTTCTTTTCACTTGCAGAAATATGTTAGGTAGCCAGGTAGTGTATATGTGTTAGGATTATGTATTTCAATGTATAGTAACCATGCTGACAAAAGGTGTAAAGTTGACTTTATTTCTAGTTTAGGGAGACTGTAATTTTACTGTTCTTGCTCTGTATTTTACAAGGCAACTTATTAGCATTACCCTTTGCCTTTTACAATTCTAGAATGTATACAGAAATGTTCATTTCAAAGCAAATGCCAGATCAAAGCAAGGTTAATGGGCACTATTAACATGGCAGACTAAACTTCTTAGTTCAGTTTGGCAAGCAGACATGTTTAATAATAGCAAAAGCTTGTATATCTCCATACAAGGACTGTTCAGTTGTTTCATTTTGAATAATGCCTGCCCTAAAACCTGACCTGAGTAAAATGGGCATGTGTAAATACATTACAGCATTCCTGGACCTAGCATTGTCAATAGGTCATTTGTTTTCATTACAAATAATACTGTGTCTGGCAGCTCACAGTTTTAATTGGTCATGGAGTCAGGAACGTGGCCGTACAGCTGACTGTCTTTATGTTGCTGTCCCCATAGAAGCTGGTTTTGTTGCATAAGCAGCAAAAAGTCCCAACCTTAGTTTAGACTTTCACTGAATGCTATTCTAGATAGTAAAGAAGACATCAGAGCATGGTGTATGACCAAACAATAAATACATTTGAACACATTTAATCTTACCACATTTGTAAAACTTATGAAGTGTGCAATACCAGGGCCTTCATGTATTCGATTAGGTGGAATCAATTGAATGAGTCAGTGTTTTTACTGGCTTTCCTTTGACCATGCTCCAGTGAAGGTTGGGACCAGTTTCTAACAGCTTGTGGATTTCAACAGTTGTAATCTTTCCCTGTTGCAGAACTAGAGCTAGAAGCACAGAACTACTATTTCTGTTGTCCTTTTGCAGTCCATCCCACTGTAATTTATCCACTAAGGACCATCTCTGATAACATTCAAGCTTGGGCCTGTTTTCCCAATGCTTGTTCTCACTATAAACAATACAGTGTGACAGAGGAATGTGTTTTGTGACATAATTTTCTGTCAAAAGCATGATTGCTGTTGACCAGAGTCAAAGGGGGCTGTATTTAGTTAAGTGTTGTCACACAAAAAAGGCTCGTATCTGGCAGTCGTTACATCGTAGATGCCCCTGGGACTGGGAAAAAAACCTGGGGTGAGAAAAAAACTCCTGCAGCTGCAACAACTGCCATAAAACAGTATGGTGGACTGCTTTAGCACTGCAAATCTAATGGAGTATATTCTCTTCCTGTCTAAAATGGTGCTTTTTTTGTTTTGGACACTGAAGCTGGACCTATTTTGCATCGCAGAGGACTTTTTCTTGCAGTGTCCTATATTGCTGTTCATTTTTTTCTGCTGCAAACAAAGAATTCAGCATTTGTTTACACCAAGCATATTATAGCTATTCTCTCATGGAATAGGACACTTCACTGTCTTATCAGTGGTGGATTCTTGGTATGCGTAATGACTATTTGCAGGTTGGGTTGGGGGTGGGGGTGGATGGGTGCAGGCTCTGCTCTGCAGAGAGAGCACTGTTCTGTTCTGCTGACTGCAGAAGGACTACCTGGCACCCTCTGCCAGTGCGTCAGCACTCTGAAATAAATGAAGAGGGAAAAAAAGATCAATCAGTGTGACTGCAGAGAGAGAGAGAGAGAGAGAGAGAGAGAGAGAGAGAGAGAGAGAGAGAGGCCAGATCTTTTGCATGGCTGTCTGGACATACAGTACACTAGTGGCTTGGAGTGTTCACTCCGTAAGATGGTGAGTCTGATACCCTGCTCTCTCTTTATGCTTTGCTGTGGTACGAAAGGACAATGCTGTAGTGGGACGAACTATGCTCAAAAAGTGTGTCTGGTTTACCTATATTATCAGATAGGTAAAGTTTTTTGATGTAAAGAGAGTGCAGGGCAGGTTACTGACTCCTTCAGCATTGGGGTGAAGATTCAAATCGAAGTTGGTGTTATTTGGAGTCTGCATATGTGAGCAGAGGGGATCAGTTCTCTTCTGCTCACACATGTAAATTCCAAGTTTATAGCTCTGGTCATTTATTTTAGTAGCAGCTCGGGTTCTTGTGTATGCGCGTGGATTTGCTCAAAATGAGGGATTATAGTGATAGTGACAACGACATCATGAGCACTGCGCTGCTAGAGCAAGCACAGTCCTTCGCTGGGGAATTACTGCAGATGAAAAAAGGCTCAGAAGCAGGTCACACAAGACCAGTGCTCTAAAGGGTTGCAAAAAGGCTAGGTGCACACTTTGAACTTGCAGTGGAGGATACACTCTGTCAAAACTGGAATCAGTGACTCTACCATGTTCTGTCTGTTTTTTGTTTTTTTTTGTTTTGTTTTTTTTTTGTAGTGAAGTGATTCCATTGGTGCTATTTAGGAAGATGATCACGCTGCTTCTCCTCGGCTTTTTCTCTTTGAGCCAAGCAGACAACTTTGACCAGGTGTATAGTGACCTGGAGAACTACAGGACTATCTACATCTCAGGTAAGTCAGAAGTTGGAGGAAGTGTGTTTTGCCTGCTTGTAAGCTTGAGGAAGACATAAAGGAGTGTCTGAGGACTGCAGTGGATGTACCCACCCTCTACCATCTTTAAGACATTTATATCATTTAAGTGTCACTTCATGGAATTCAAAGGTTTGGTAGAATGTTATAGACTCTATTAGGCCTGCGTAGGATTGGGTTTACATGTTTAAACTGCCACCCTACATAATTTCTATCACCTTCTATCACCCTTCTTTCACACTATCAACCTTGATCAGGTCAACAAGTAACCCAAGATGGCTGGCTTATTAGTTATGTGACATGACATCAAATGTGTTTTTCACAAACTGATTTTCACAGTGGCAAATTTAATTTAATTAGCCTGAGCAAGCTTGTGTGAATTCTTGGTTGGGTTAAATTAGGGCTAGAGGTGGGTTTAGTGGCCTTAGCTTTTAGTGACATTTTTGGTGGTTTCATTGTTTACTTTGCAGAAGGATTAGACACATCTACATTTCCACCAGAGTAATGTTTGGACATCTAGAGCTCTCTTCTACAAGCAGGGGTGGTTCTGCTTTTGCAAAATCTAACATGATTCATATATTTGCATAACCACAACAGCCTTAGAAGCCTATTGTGAATTCAGTAATGACAGTGCACTGTTTGGAAACGCCTTAAAATATTGGATTTTAAACAATACACCAACAAAGAGGCAGCAGATACATCCTAGACCATATACCAGACATCGCCCTCAACTACAGAGAATAAAAGTGTTGATGGAGATGCAGCCAAGAGGTTGTTTGTTTACCTAAGTCATGTTCCTCATCTTAAAGTTTGTACCAAATTAAAGTCATTGCTTCTTTAGAAGGCAATGATATTTAACAGGCATAGGATTTGTTTTTTAAGCATCAGATTTATCAATTTATTTGACATTTACAGCTTAAATTTACAACTAAAAACGTTAAGTAAGTTATTAGCTATCTTTACTCTAATGGAACAGGGCCATGTAATTAGCTCTTTTTCACAGAGCTGCAATGGATTGTCTTGTCATTGGCACTGTCCTCATGATCCAAATATATAGAACATAAAAAAGTTAATCCTTCTCTTCTTCAAACACTTCAAACTTTTTGTTCTCAGAATTTCAGTGCTTTTACCTTAACTTTTCAGAAAATGGGCCTCGACTGTCAGTTGTGACAGAGCAAGCCAGAGTGGTTTCTCGACGAGGGGGCAACATAACACTGCCATGCTCATTCCAGAGGGACCCCTCATCTGCACCAAATCCCAAACTGAGGATCAAATGGACTAAGTTGACTTCAGACTTTCTGAAAGAGATTGATGTCTTTGTAGCTATGGGTTTCCATAAGAAGAGCTATGGTAGCTTTCATGGCCGTGTGCATCTTCAAGGAGCCAGTGAGAATGATGCCTCTCTAGTCATTACTGAGATAACATTAGAGGATTATGGGAAATACAAGTGTGAGGTCATTGATGGCCTGGAGGATGACACAGGAGTGGTTTCACTCGATCTCCAAGGTAAGCATCAGCATGAACTCTGTATTTTGCACTCTATATAATGTTATATAATGTAAGCAGGGAGTAGGACTGTGTGATATGGGCAAAGTGTCATTTTGCAACATATTAAAAAACACATTTGCAAGTGAGCACATTTTAACTCGGAGAACATAGGCTGCAATTTCTAGTAGTTTTCTAATAGTTTTTCAAACCTTCTTTTGCTGGTGTGTTTCGTCTGTCTTATTATGATATATTACATATTATGCTAATGTCTTAAAGTGCTGTAATGCTACATGTTTGCTATACTTAGTTTCAGGCATGGTCTTCTCTGCCAAAGTTATTTAGTTATTTTATAGCTTCATTACTTTTGTTGGATCAGATGGCTAGTGGCAGCTAAGACACTGACTGTTAATTCTCCCCACAGGTGTTGTGTTCCCGTATTTCCCTCGTCTTGGTCGCTACAACTTGAACTTCCATGATGCTGACAAGGCCTGTCGAGACCAGGATGCCATTGTGGCCTCATTCGATCAGCTGTATGATGCCTGGAGAGGAGGGCTAGACTGGTGCAATGCTGGTTGGCTTAGTGATGGATCAGTGCAGTACCCAATCACCAAACCTCGAGAACCATGTGGAGGAAAGAACACTGTGCCTGGTGTAAGAAATTATGGGATGCGAGACAAGGAAAACAACAGATATGATGTATTCTGTTTTACTTCTAACGACAAAGGTGTGTCATCAATCGATTTGTGAAAATACGAAAATAAATTGTCTTATGTATTAAAGCATGTGTTACATGTTACATTATAGAAATGGTGGTCTATTTGGGGCAAAACCTAGGCAATTCCCTGTCCAAATGGAGTAATTGATCATTGTCATAAAGGAGGAACCAGCTACTGCTATGAATAAACTATCATATTAGGGAGCCCCAATACAGACTCCTTCTGACAGATTAATATATCTATCCTCAGTAATTAGATAGAAAGCAAATATTTAATAGGACCAAGACCTAAGACACCATTAACATTAAGGTCCAAAGGTTTATAGCTTGGTTTAGCAAGTTACTAGTGTTGACATTACAGCAATGTAGCTTGTAGAACCCAACCGACTCATAAGCCCTATGTTGTGTCACCTATTCCTATTGTGCCTCACCGAAACAGATCTTGTAGCGAAGGCAACATATCATCATTATACATGCCAACAAAGAGGTCAGTTATACAGGCAAAAGAGCAACAATCAAATGCTCAGACATGAACTTTTTTCTCCAATTAATAGTGTATGGTAATTCCATTAGAAAATGACCAACTACATATCAGAACTTCATCAGCACAATTTTTTCTAATGGTAATAAATCTGCTGGACTGCATTATTAGCTGATATTATCAGCCAACTGATAGTTAGCTCCATAATACCTGGCACCCTTGGTAAAAAGAAGTTTACACTAAATATTTTTGAGAAATCTAACTTTTAATGGAAAAAAAAACATTCTAAGGAAACAAAAACAATGATCAAAAATACATTTTTAAACCACATATGTCACAATTATTGGCACTCGAAATTCCTGTGAACAAAATGTATGTGAAACGTGTTCCTAATTATATTTTACTTTTTTCACAAACTCTCTGTGTAAGTTCATGAGTTCTGGTTTCACTGGAGTATAAATATGAGGTTATACAGAGGCCAAATTCCCTTAGTCATTCATCAACATGGTGAAGAGAATACATAAATGAGACTAAAGTGTGTTTAGCTTTGTAAATGAGGCAATGGCTAAGAGGTTTAAAACAATCTGTGCTGTAGTGGACCTACCTTGAAGAGCATCCAAGTGTATTTTTTATTTCTGTTAAAGATTAGATTTCTCTATTAGCATTTTATTATCCTTTTTTTCCCCATCTTTAGCAGGGAGCTGACTGTATATCAGTCGGGCCCTAATTAACACTATTATATAAATAATATTAATTTCAACAATATAATGTCTCTCATTATTTTGGGCTCTGTAGGACGGTTCTACTATCTGACGCCCTCTTCCAAGATGACGTATGATGAGGCGGTTCTGGCATGTCAGAAAGATGGTGCTCACATTGCCAAAGTGGGGCAAATGTACGCAGCATGGAAGCTGCTGGGCTACGACCGTTGTGATGCAGGCTGGCTGGCTGATGGCAGTGTGCGCTACCCTATCTCCCGCCCACGCCGCCGCTGCAGTCCCACGGAGGCTGCTGTGCGTTTCTCAGGTTTTCCGGACAAGAAGCACAAACTTTACGGTGTCTACTGCTTCAAAAGGCAGAACTGAGAAGCACCCATGTGAAGCATAGTTTTCTGCAGAGGGGAAGAGTAGAGGAGAAGTCAGTATGAGAGCATGTTAAAACTGTGACGGTGTTTTCCCAAATACTGTAATTGGAAATAATTGGTAATACAGTAAGAATTTGGTGGGACGTGAGGTGAAGATTTTGAGGGTTGAAGGACTGTTGGAAAAAAAGTTGACCTTGCTTCTCAAAAACAAGTTTACTCTATAAGATACGAATACCATAATTGTAGATTTCTAAATAAGCCACAATACATTTTTGAAGTTTGAATGGTTGTTTACTGATATATACTGATTTGCTGTTTATCATGAGAGACAGCATGTAGTATCACAAGAGTAAGAGAGACTGGATAACTAAATAAAGATGTCGTAACATATCAGTAATAATATTGTACTCTTCATTAGACATTGAACTTAAAGAATGTACTTGGACTGATTTGGCAGGAAAGCTTCAAATTATAGATACAGTACTACGTATTCTGTTCAGTAGCATCATATCCCATGAGATCAGCCCAGTTCAAAGATAAGTTCAGCCAACCATTTGGTCAAAGCAAAATTACTCAGTCTCTCTCTCTCTCTCTCTCTCTCTCTCTCTCTCTCTCTCACCTCACACACACGTGCACACACGCACGCACGCACACACATTTTTTTTAATCATCCTTTCAGGGTGCTATAGTATAAAGTGTTATTTTCAGGCCATATGTTTTTTAAATTAGTTTTAAAAATATATATATTTTTTCTGTGGACCAAACATCCAGTATTACATATGTCATACTGAAATGACAAACACTCATTGTTCTATGATTTTTACAATAAGCATTTATAATTGTATCTCTGCTAAGTATCTGTTTCTTAGAATGTCCTATTTATATAGCCCCTGCATCTGTTTCTCTTTATTGAATATTTTAGGACAGTGCTGAACTCCTGAGAGTAGGAAACAAAAAAACTAAAACATGCATTGATCTTGTCACTATTAGGTGGATCAATGTAACTAAGAAGAGAAATGTGTGGTTCACTGCTAAATATTAAAAGCACCATTGTGATTCAGACACAAATTTTACTTTTTATAGTAATTTTTTATGTACTGTATTTGTATTTTACATACCTTTCAGGATCTGCTCATAAAGCCAAAGACATAAGCTTACTCCATTAGTTTTCTAGGGCATCACTGGACTGTAGTAGATAGTCATCAATTGAAACATTGCACACATTCAAGTGTGCCATAATAACTCTTCTTTTACATGAATGGATTTGGATCCATGGTTTTAGTAAATGCATGTGAATATCTCAAGAGTATATACTGAGTTGGCTACTGACAGAACTGTAGTAGGGGCCACTATAAATTGAAGAAAAAGAAAAGGAAAAAAACAACGTGATTTCCCCCGTAATGCAAACAAACCTTGCAGGTAAAGGTTACCTAAAGAACACCTAAAATGCAATGGCACTACACACTGCATAGTCAGCATGCTGTGTTTAAATATTTACTTTGAGTTGGCAGTGATGCATTAAACCTGGGGAGGCATTATAATATTGATCATGGCCTCTGGAAACAAAACACACTGACTGCCAAGCTAAGATCCATATTGCCTATGTTTACGCAAGACTGAGCAGCCATTTTACATAAGAAGGGCATGTGCTATATTAGTTAGGTGCTAACTTTAAAAGAAAATGCTCTTGAGAATACTGGACTTAATTCAAAACATAGTCTTTACTTCTGTATCAACATGCTTTACTTTTCTCACTGGCAACTGTAGCCTACAGGTGCCTTGTTTACAGATTTAGGCATTTTGATTGGTTTGGTCTGTTTTTGTAGCCAATGTAAAAATCAAAACACTTTCTTTTGTGTGCATAAAACATAAAAAAATGGGATTTGATTGTATCTATGTAAAGAGTTCCATGGCTCAGAATCAAAAGAAAAATAAAAACATGAGACAAATGAGTTGTTTGAATTACTTGAATGAAGAATTTCCTTAGAATAAAGTAACACATTCAGTAATAATTAGTGACTATTGCTTAACAAAACTTTACAGCAATAGTAGCTATGTTATCAGAAAATATATAAGTGCATTAACTGGCTCTGAAAATATTTGTCTGCCTATTATTGAATGGATTGTGTTGGGCTGGTTTCCTGCACAGTCTGGCGAATTTCCTGCTTCAACACTTGATTCAGCTCAGTAGGTAATTACCAGGTTTAGTTTAGAGAAATCAGCAAACTGTGCTCGACTCCAGACCTCAGTTACCCACCCTGAATTATGGAAACGAAGAAGCACACATGGTTATCTGCTGTCAGCAACTTTATCTGGACTTAAATCTGGACTTTATATAGTTCATACTGATTACATTTTAGTCATCATGACAATAAGAAAAGCCCTGTATTTTCTGAGGGTCACCATCTTTACTAGTGGCTTGACAGTTTGGCATACTATGGTGGCTGTTACAGCGTAACAGTGCTACACACTATGTATCATAAATTCTCCTTGGCCTAGATATTTTTAAAAAACAGAAAAAAATAAAAATAACCAAACCAACCTGAAAATGAGGAATTCAATGTGTCTTTGTAATGTATTTTTATTATTTAAAATCTCTCAGTTCAATCATTGTTGTATCTTCTGAAATAAATTAAACTCTTATGGCTTGTAACATTTGCAATACTGTCTAACACAAAAATGGCTGACTCATTTAATCACATATAGTAGGCCTATTCATCTTTCCACAGTAAAAGTCATAAAAAAGTATGATTAAATGTACAATTCCACATATTTATTTGCATCACCACAAAAAACACATTTTGATGTTATGCTAATTCTAAAAGAACACAATTTATGCTAATGGAAAACAAAGACCTGTTGTGAGTAAAAAGAGATGCCAGGCTGCAAACTGGTTCTTGTAGTTCCTCCTGTGTTGTGAAGATGAGGATGATGAGGATGAGGATAGTGATGAAGTCATGAGTTGCAGTCCTTTGAGCATTGTCTTCCTCAAGTCTTGTGACTTCTCTTCTGTTTTGTTACTCTTGGCCTATTGGTATGCATACTGTAGTTTCGTGCCTTTTACTGCATAGAAGGAACAAAAAAATCTGAACCTCTACACTAAGAAGTTACAGTTCAGATCGTCACAATTAATTTGCCCTTATTTACTTTTTTGACAGGTACTCTCCACCTTTTCACTATAAACTTTAAGACTTAATATAGAATTACAGTATTGCATAGTCAAAGATAGCAAGTGTACTTCATCAATGATGTAATTTCTGCATTGCTGTAAGACAATTCCTTGTTTATTTGTTTAACTATAGATCATGAGCATTAAATAAAACATTCAAAGGCACATGATTCAAGTTTGTCAGTTTGTCCCTTTAGACTGTAGAATTGCTCTGTGTTGAAGCGTGTCCTCTGCCTGTGATTTTGAGTGGAGATCAGTGTTTGGTCTGTTCCCCTTTTTTGCCCCAGTTCTGCTGCACCCACCCATTGTAGCGGTTTTTGTTATTGGCTTGGTAATATTGGGAGTAAGTCTTCTGGTATGTAGATGCTGCGTGAAAAAACAGAGAGGAGGAAGATACAAATGGACATCTTTTCACATACTACAGTTAATTATGCATACTTCTATAAACTTACTATTATTTCTAGATTTTACAAATCAGTATACAAACACTAGTGGTAAGGAGGCTTACGCTTCATGCATATGATTTTGGGTTTGTCCCAGTGGCCGTCCGGTCTGCACCTAATGGTGGGTACATGTCTCTGGATAAAGCCATCTTTACAGTGATACCTCACTAGAGAGTTGATCTCATAGCGTGGCTTAATGCTACCAAAAATATGTGCATCCTTCACAATGGGTGGTTGACTGCAGGCCACTGAGAGACAGAGAGAAAGAGACAGATTGAAAAAGAAGAAGTAGACAGAAAAGGAGAACAAAAAGGATAAGTAGTTTTAGGTCTGTACACCTTTAGCCAGCAAATGCTTTGTACAAAATGAGTAACACAATCAGTAAAAGAACGCCAATTACTGACTATGATACTTCAATTATAGGTAGTACTGTTAATGATACATTTGTGCTTATGCTAATTTGTACAAAAGGAAGTAATCTACAATGGTAATGGATAAAATAGGGATAGTCTTACCTGTGCCTTTTTTGCAGGTGAAAGTCAGGTGGTAGTTGCATGGCACATCATTCCACTGACCTGCCTCATGCCAGATCATCACCACGCAGTCTTCACCTGTGGAGAAGAAGCTGTCTGGCTGGCCCTGTCTCCAGTTCTCATATTGCTATTGGGAAAGAGATGAAGAACTTTCACAAATGATGCAAAACATGTTTAGTGGACAAAAGAATCACCATTTAATTATTTATTTTAGATAAATGCATTTCACCTAGGCACGACTGAGTAAAATCAGAAGAAAAAAATCGAAATCATGCCATTTTAATGAGTAACTGTGAAATTTCAATTAAAACAAACTTTTTTGTTGTGGAAGGAAAAACATCATATCATTATTATAAACAAGATAATTAAGGGTCTAAATGAACCCTTTGCAACTTTCATATAAGCAGAAAAGCTAGCATCTGCAGGGTAAACCTAAGAAGCTGTTACATGACTGTATGTTTCTCTCTGCACATCACTACATTAACATATTTAAAAAACACTTTGATCGATTTGTGCATCACAATATTTGGTCACACGGGGGCGCTAAAACCACACTCTGTTGTATGTAATCGCAAACCCTGCACATGTGTGCACATCTGGCAGAGTTACATGGGATTTTCCCCATTAAGAAGAGCAAAAGAATGACATATTTTTAAAACAGATTGCAATGCTGTGCTTCATTTGCCTCAACTGAACACAAATGCAAGCTTCATTTCAGGTGGAAAAAGACATGATCGACATGTTACTTAAACATGTAATTTTGGAAGATAAAACAAATTTCTGCAATACAAAAACAGCTTTTTTTCTTCTCTACCTCTGCTTACAATAGCAAGAGATAATTCTGTATGAAAACCACCTAGGAATATAATTTTTAAGGCTCTGGATGGGAAGCCTCTGCATTTAGTGTTTGCTGCTTTAGACAATCAGTGAAAATAGATACCTAGATTATTGACAACAGGCTTGCAGAGATCTATGCAGCATTATAGGTTTTGTGTACAGCTGGAAATGAATAAATCAAACAAATAATGAAAATTATGAATTTATAAAAAGCCTGCCTTACCATGGCACTGCCATCTGTCCAGTGAAAGTCATTCTCAAACATCTTGTCATTTAATCCGATCCACTGGTAGTCATGACCCAAACCTAGAGCACCATTAAATATGCATCCATTAAGCTGCTACATTAGGTCATCAACAAGCAAATCCATTTCTTCCTCAAATTGTAAGCCGACACACATAATTCAAATGTATTGTTAATGTACACACGCATGAGTGTACACAATACACCAAGACTTATTTAAAACACTGATGTATCAGATATCAGATCTATAAGACAACAGATGCAAAATATGTGTGATATTTGAAATTCACAAGCAGTTTCAGATTACATTACAGTATTTTGTAGAAAAATTACATTACAGTATTTTGTAGAAATGATACACTAGGGTCTTTAAATGTTCCACATAACATACTGTAAAAACGTTAAAAGGTTAATTATTTGCTTGTTAATTCTCTTCTTGTTACTTCTTTTCTTGAGTGCCTTGCTATCCCTTTGCTGCTGTAACACTGAGAATTTCCCCGTTGTGGGACTAATAAAGGATTATCTTATCCTATCTTCCTATACTCAAAATACCCTTTCCCTGTTCTTTATCTTGCTTCAAACTTCTTTGATTACAGTGATTAAATTCCAACTGCAATTCAGAGCAAGAACATAAATTCATTGTTTTCTCAAACCCCTACTGTGTTAAAAGTCGCAAAATCTGCAGTGCCATCCTTCATAAATTACCTGGCCACAGCAGGGAAGCAGGAAATCGGCTAATCAAACCACACATCATGAAAACAGGATTCCCTCTCTCTCCCTCGGTATCTACCTTTGCGATCTTCAATCATCCATTTATTTTATTTACAAGGTTAGATGTAAAGAAAACCTCTCTGAAAAGCTTAATTTGCTCCACTATATCCTTTGACAAACATGATTTGAACAGTAGACTTACGATTGACAAAGAGTTGCTCCTCATGGGAGAGCACACTGGCCAGGTGAGCTCCATGTAGGCGACACTCTCTCTCAGCTGCATCCCAGGTGCGCCTATGAGTGAAGTACTTGTAACAGTGGCTCTGAAACTTATGCCAGCCAAAGTCACAAGTCTCCGTATCTGTGGATCAGGAAGTCAGCAAACAAAAGAGAGATCAGAGGTGCATGCACAATGCTCGGATTGAGGGTTACATGTGTGTTCCACATTATATACAATGTAACTATCTATATGTAATCAGGATTTTCTATGCCTAAGTCTACACCTAACCCTAACCTCAGCAACCAAAAAGAAATTATCTTGCTCGTTCAGTTTAAATAAAAAGAAACAAAGCTTTGGTAACAAAATCAGGACCATTTTATTGGTCATGACATTGTGCTTTAAACCGTTTATTCTCTGGTTGTCCAACATATTCAACACAATTTTTGTCCTATATATGAATATATGAATGCTCATATAGACAAATAAAAAAGAAAAAGATGTAAGATTTAAGGTGCCTAAAAATAGAGAGTCAGGCTACTAACAATTACATTTTAAGTGGCTTTCTTGAGGTTGTTTTTTGAATCAGGAACTGAACTGGCAGCTGTAGGAACGTCCCTGTTTAGAAAATCTTCTGAACATTCACAGAGATGCACATGAACTCAGGAGAATTAAACTAGACTAAATCTGTACATATTTATTTAACAAGGAGAAGGCCAGTCTGTGGGATACAAAAGAAAATCAACCAAGATTCTTGATGTTTGAATCTGTTATATATTTTCTTCAAGTTCTTCAAGAACAAGTGAGGCTTTTAGACAATCAGTTGCTGGTGCAGAAAACTCGAGTCACAGAGCCATGTCTATTTTGACCAGTATACTAATTAAGTTAGCCTAGCACACAACACCATTTATCCAATGTTGCACAATGATGCCCCTAAACGTTTTGCTCGCTCTAAACTCCCCCATGACTACAGTGCTTAAGCAAATAGTGACATCCACTGTGACTGGCAAGAAAAGGCCACATAAACAGTTCGAGTAAATGAGCTCAAATACAGTCCACAACAGCACTTCATTAGAGTCATTATAGCCCTTTTTGTGCATTTTGTACAGAATTTTCATACTGTTATAACTCAGCCCAGAAGGCATTAGCTGGGACACTTAAACAATCAATCATTTTAATTGTAGGAATAAACTGAAACATACAGTGCTCAAGGGCGCTTGAAAGTGACTTGATATGTTATAATCTGGTCAAATTACACACAGTACTGCACAAAAGTCAGAGACCACCCATCAGTTACTAAATTTCCAGTAAAAACAGCCATTAAATACAAATTAAGTTTTCAGCATCAAGAAAAAAGAGGAAAAGATCCACTTTAAGAGTAAATTACACAGAAGCCTTAACCACTAAATATAAAAGTTTTCAATAATTAGGATGCAGACCTTTTGCTTTATTACAGCTTCCATTCTTTTGGGAGACCTGCTTTCAGTTCTTCAAAGAAATCTCCAGACACATTATTCCACATCTCCAAAGTTCAGTGTCAGAAGTTTTTTCTGCTTCTCACAATCTAAAGAATAGCAAACACATTCAATCATGCTGAGGTCTGGACTCTGGGGTGACCAGCTTGTTGTTCTAAGATCACTGGCAGCTTCTTTTTTTGATTTACAGATTTTTTTTTCTTTTATTGACAGCTACGCATCCTTTCAGATCCATAGCACTTTGTTTGCTTATAGTGGGAGGATGGACAGAAACACCTGTGGATTTTCTCCTATCTCTCAAAGATGATAGCTTTAAGTCATGTTTATCCAATGGTGCAATTTTGGTGGTCTATCAGGTCTTGGTTGTTAGCAGTCCCATTTTATCTTTTAATAATTTTTTTCACTTAATTTCCTTTGATGCAATTCCTCATGCAGGATCTTCCAACCTATTACCTCATGAAATGTCTCCTAAATAAAAAGAATAACTAGTACTTAATATACATTTTGACTGGAACGTCAATAAATAAAGGGTGGTTTCTGACTTTTGCACACCTTGTAAGAGCAACATAACTATTTACTTTGTGAAAAGTGGGAACAAAGGGGTGGTGAAAGGTGAAAGCTTTAAGTCTTGAAACTAATTAAGGAGGTAAATTTTTTGTCATTTTTGTGTAAATTTAATTTCATGTATGTTTCTAATTTCACAAGGTTTTGTTCTGACAGCACCAAATAAAATGCATCCATTTTTATTATCAAATGAAAACACAGTAACATTTCAATCGACCCTCATGGGATTTTGGAACCACTGAACAAAGTGGTAGAACAATAAACAAATAATAGCCAGTTAAATCGTCATGGAATGGATCATTCAGACACTCAACCAGCAGCAAGCAAATTTTATTTAAACATGTAGAAAAAGAACTGTTGATGTTCAATATTGTTTGAAAAAAGTTCAAAATTACCACAGACAGAAGCATTACACTCGGCTAGAATCAATTTAAAGTTCACTTTAACTCAAGACTGAGACAAGACAGAGTCAAAATGATGTTGAGACTGAGACAAGACAAAGACTGTTAATTTATGGTCTTGAGTACTACAATAGTATATGCTCAACATATATATTATACAATTTTAGATTACACAATGTTCAGGTAGGTAAGCTGGTGCACTCATGTAAATGATCAGATTATTTTCACAGCAGAAAACTAACAACTCTGTCACAAGAAAAGAAGTGGCGGAGTGGTGAGACATTTACAGGTGTATGGGTTGAAGGATGGTGGTTTGTTCCCTTTGTGCAATGGGTAGAATTGTGACAATGTGTGTGCTTCTATAGATGTCTCAGAGGGAAACAGAATGTTGTAAAAATTGTTTCCAGCTGTTTTTGCAATATAGGGGCTTGTGCTCTCATAAGCCTTTAGGGCCTCATTACTATACTGAGCCAGAACCATATGACCCATAAGACTTATAACGCAGAATAAAGCTCAGCCTAAGTTAACATTAACAGAGTTGACCACTCACCAAACGGACTAAACACTCGGGCTGGGCAATATGACAAAATTTATTGTTAATGTGATAAAATGCGATTTTATCACGGGGAATGGTGTTCTTAGGCACGATGTGAAGCGGAGGGGATCTACCCTTGTTAAAATACATGTTTTAAACAATGATTGAAGTTATTAATAATAATCAAAATAAACAAATATTCCACCAAGAAATGTAGTTCCTTTAGATTATGATATCATTGCCAAGCAACCATGGACCGCTGCATGAGGAGAACGACGTTTGGTCGCCCATCACTGTGTACTCCGATCATGTCATGAACTTTTTCACTTTTTTTCGTATAACAGTGAACATATTGTAACATAGCACTGTTTAATGCTAAAACCTTCACTTTATAACTACATACTTTTTGGTCATCAAATTACCACTGCAAGTCTTCTTCTGCCAATCTGACGGTGGCCCTACCCACACTGGGGCTGAATGTCAGCTCCCTACATAGTGCACTACCTAGGAATTGAAATACTGACTCCTGCACCCAAACAATGCATAATATCACTAAATAGTCCTTTGGGATTCATCCACATTCATAATTAACAAACAGTGCACTATTTGACTGCAGAAGCTAGAATTTCTAAACTTACAGAGCACACCATTTAGCTAGGGAGTACAGAGCCATTTTAGATTCAGCCTGGGTTTGATGCTACTTTTGATGAAAACACGGAAATTTAAAACACATAAGCCATTGAAGTGGCATTCTTTAGATGTTTCTATTGCCATTTTGCAGTGAATCATATTGTAAGCACTTTAATTTAAGCTTGTGATATTAATGTCGGAGTTGTTTAGCATGTTTGCTATCTTTTAGCCTGTTAGCTAGCTAGAATAAAAATTGTTGATTGTTCATAGTTTTTGATAGTATTTTTTAATAAATGTAGCACTACTGCTTCTTTATTCTCTGTTCCAACTGATCAGATGTCTGAAAAAATAAATACTGTTTTATATATTGTGAAAATTTCTTGAAGTTTTGCAATATTATATTTTTGCCATATCGCCCACCTTTACTAAACACTGTTCATCCCCATGCAAAGAGAGTGACTGCTACTTATAATGAAAACCACGATGGATCACCCACAGAGAATGTTCCCATGTTTGACGTGATTTTTGTTTTAGCTTGAGAGTGCACTGTTTTGTCTGGTAGTAGTTTGTAAAATGAATATTCTTTATATTAAAACATGATTTTGTTACTACCTTTTTTTTTTTTAGAAAAAAGAAAATGTTTTTGAATCATGAAAGAAAATATTTTGGAAAGTAAACTTATTGCCATGCCAAAAATAGATACGTCACCTACAGATTCAGCACCTTTGATCACTCTTTCAATTATTCACATGATAACTTTACGAAGCCAGTAGTATATCCTAATTCAAATTGGGGAACGAATCTTGGACAAGAGTGAAGTTGTGCAAAGCCAGAAAATGATCTCAGGGACCAATTCTGAGCATGTGAAAAGCTGCTGACCGGGAGAGCCAAGATAGTGCCCTCTCTGACAATGCATTCTCTGCTCTTCGAAGAAACCCATGAATCATTGGCACCACACTGCATTCTCTGTACTATACCACACTCACAATGGAATTCCAGACTTGCCAGATGTGTCCTATTGCTATTCTTTCTGAAAGAAAGTCTTGGCTTGGACCAAATTCCATCGTCTTTCTGCTTGAGCACATTCACTATACAGGCCAAAATCAGGAAAATGTCGGTCTTTAGAGATCAGGCCAAGAGTTTGCCTTCAGTTTTTGGACCACACCACTGAATCTTATGACACGGAGGACGTACCTTGTTCACAGAGAGCACCCGAGTAGCTGGGTAGACAGACACAAGTGAAAGAATTATGTCCATCAATACAGGTGGCCCCATTACGGCAAGGATTGGATTGACATTCATCAATATCTGTAGAAAGTAAAAATTATGATGACTAATGATTTTCATTTAAAATCTTTTGGTGATCTCATAAGATACTGACAAAAAACAAGAGTTTAAAAGTACCATACCATTTTCACAGTTATCCCCAGTGAATCCAGGCATACAAAGACAAATGTTGCTTTTACCATTAAAGAAACATGTTCCTCCATTGTCACAAATATTTACTACACACAATGTAAAATCTGAAGGAGAAAAAAACAAAAAAAGTACCAGATTACTTTGTGCATTATTCTGTTTGTAAATACTACCTTTGAAATCTCTGATTACTTGCTAAAATTCAATACCACACTATCACATTATTAAACTAGCAAATTATTAGGAAACAATGTAATACTGTACCTGGCAAGTCCACTGTGTGCCCCACCACCGTGGTTACATTATCAGCCCCTGCATGTGTGTCTACTGTAGTTACCTTTTTCTTGTGTGGACGTACAGCAACTACTGATAGACTACCTACACCATCAAAGTCCTCATCAAATGGCATGGCAGTAGTTGCTTGAACTGGTGAGGTGAGGAATTCCTCTGTGGCAAAATGCTGAGTTACAACTTTGACATGTTCCTGCACATGCTCAGGAGTGGAGGTTAGAACTTGCTCAGTGAAGAGTGTAGAAAAAGTGGCTGTTAGAACAGTCGCCTCAGACGTGTGATCTTCAGAGATAGGGGTTGTAGTTTTATGATCAACTGCAGTGAATTTAGATCTTGCAGACCTCTCTTGGTCTATTGTGGAGATACTAGTAACCACGCTCAATGGACTTTGTGTGGTAAGTTTGGACACAGTTTCACTTCGGGCAGAACCTTCAAATTGCTTGCGTACTGCAGCATCTGTAAAAGTCTTTTCAGTGACTGCAGTTTGATGAATAAAATGCGATTGGACAGTTGTTGCAGTGAGAGCCTTCTCTCTTGAAAATGTTTCAGCTGGTTGCTCACTGTGGTTTTCATCTTTAGTGATGGAAAAAACTGTGCTTTTGACCATCTCTGATTCTGGCACTGACAGAGGGATCTCAGTTCCTTTAACATCATCCACCTCTGTTTTAGTATCAGAGGTAACCCATCCAGGCATCGCATTCTCCTTAGAGATGGAAAAAAGACTTGTAATTTTTCCTTCTGTGCTGGGAGATATCAGTGTAACAGTCTGGCTTAGAGTTGTAGAATCAATAGCTTTGGGCGAGACAGTGGAAAGAAGGGATGAAACAGTAATGGCAGGAGGTGGGCTTGGTTTTGAGCCTTTAAGTGAATACTGATATTGTGCTGAGCCATCCTCAGCTGATGATGTAGATCCTTCATAGTCATCTGTGTATGACTGCCTCTCTCTATCAAAATTGCTGTGACTTGTAGTGATAGCAAATTCCATAAATGGTATTTTGGTGGGGAACTCTATACTTACTGTCGTTGAAGTCTTCTCTAACTCAGGGATTTCTGATTCATCTGTAACCACCTCCTCTTGACTGTAAAAAGCTGTTGTTGGCAGGACATAATATGCAGAGCCTACCGGGGGAGGCAACTCATCATCTTTAGGGTGTCTGCCAAAACCCTCATCAAAAGTAGATGTTTTGCTGATTGACTCATAAACTGGTGTTTCATCTAATAAAATTTTTGTGGTTAGAATTTGAGGGATCTCAGAAGTTGTGACTGTGTCATGCAAAATGCTTTCTGAAGAACTGAGTTCAGTTACCACTGCCGAAGAGGTAATTACTGCTATCTCAGGTTCTTCCAGCTTCTCCTTACTTACTATTGGGCTTGCTGTCTCAAACTGAGCTCCTATTGCTTCCAGAGTTTCCTCAGTCTCCGCTTTAAAATTTAGCTCATGCTTCCCATTGATGAAAGTCAGAACTGGGTTGGTGGTAAAAGAGGATGAAGGGACTTCATCAAAATCTTCACTAATCAAACCATGTTTGCTTTCAAGAGATGATGTGGTTGGCTTAGGAAAGAATGAAAACTGGGAATCAAGGGGAACTCCTTCTCCAATTATCCCCGCTATGTGATCAGCTTTATATAAAAAAAGAGGGGAAAAAATATTATTCCAAAGCTCTCAAACTTTTTACTCAATATCTACCACCCAATGTCTAATCCATAGAATCCTCAGTCAAACAGTCAAGGAATTCAAATTCTGGTTTGCTGTTCTCAAACTATTCCTTTTTCCATGAATGATTCATTTTCCAGGAATCTATCTACTGCGGTATAATTTGTTGAAATCTTTTTAAAATAAATTTTATTCATTTAGCAAAATTTGAAAACTACCAATTATATGTTACAACTTTCCTTTTATGTACACACATATTTGTGTACACCCAGATATGCACAGTACTTGCATGTGAACAGCATGAAAGGTATTGGAATGTAAATAGTGAAGTGACTGCACTGATGATTGTTAATGTATTTTATGGGAAGTACAGAATACTTTTTGAAAATAACTGATGCACTGAAAGCTATAAGCAAATCTGACATGTTCTCTTTATGAGCAGAGATCTTTTAGATGTTCTGATATTTCAAACCAATATTTGATGAGATATTTATTCTACTTCAGAAGAGCAGAATGTTTAGGCAACACTGGGCTACTTCACTTTTTGCAATTTATTCATTTTCTGGCATTTCTAATCCTACAGAAATGAATGTTCTATTTCTCCAGTAGTCCCAATTTCTACATTTTATAAATGCTTATATATTGGCATCAATAAATATCTATTTGAAAAATGTTGGACATTGGCATTGGCCTACAATTACCATAGCAGTGCATCACTAAACATGTTTGTGTTCTATGGAAAGGATTTTGCATCAGATTTACTGAGAAAATCAGTCAAGCTTTTGTATTCTGGACACTTTATAATTATAAATTTGTTATTTGTCTTTCTTGATTCATGTTCTGAGTTTTGTACAAGCAATATTTGTTCCTAAATGTACAGAGAGCATTTAATGCTTAGAAAACCCCAGAAAGTCATAAACTACCTGGAATCATTAAATGGGTCACTGAACCTAACTGTTCACTAGAGCTCTTGTAGTTTCTAAGAGCTGAGGAGGCACATTCTATACTATTTAGGGAAATTTTATACCTGTTAAACTATAAGCAATGGTCACATGCTAGAAAACTGGCTTACCTGACACATTATATTTCATATCAATTACAATGACATTAATAGGAGGTGCAGAGGCAGATCTATTTCCCTTGGTGCCAGAAAGTGGACTTTGGATTACTGGTTGGGTGCTGAAGTCTTCAGCTGTTGCACTCTTGCCTTCCTCTTCTGTTATCCTGATGGTACTCTCTGCAGTTACCAGTGTTTCTTCAGTCATGCTTACTGTGGTTTTGTTCACAGGGGTATCAGAGGTGGCTAGAGCTGTTATTACTGTGCCTTCCCTTTCAGTTGAGCCCTCCTTGAGTTCTTTATACACTACAGCTAGCTTGTTTGTGTCTTGCTTAGAGATAGAGGGCTCTTGGACCACAGTCATTTGTTGTGTAACAGCTTCTGATATGTCTGCTTCTCCTCTGCTGCCAGCTTCTGTAGAAGCAATATCTGCTGTGATGTCTAGCTGAGGAGAAATGCTCTTCATGGTGGGAAGAGGGGGCAGCTGTGTGAGATGAGGCACTCCTCGATCAGGCACTGCATCTACTTGGTTAATACTCTGGCTCAAATCATCCACATCATAGTCTGTGATTTGAGTTGTGGAACCCATAATGGAGACGGTTACTGTGGGCAACGAGGTTTGGAGCATCTCTGTGGGGTCAGTTGTGGGATCTTGTCCTGAGGAAACAGGGAGTTGAGGCAAGATATTTTAGTTATGAGATAATGAACAGGTCAGATTCAACTGAGTTCCTTCTGAGAGAACACTGTTCAGAACTTGGCTTTTAGATGTGCACACAATTGACAAAAATAGGCTGCTAATTTCACCCTAAATAAGCACAGTATTAACTATGACAATTTAAGTGCAGCATTTGGCAGTAGTATCTGAGCGTTTTAGTATTGGAACCCACTGTAGCGCCAACATCTAAGCATTTCTTTGAATCGTTGCCTTCTAAGAAAGCATTTCTAGAGGATGATGTGTCATAACTGGGTTGAGCATAACAGCATAACTCTTCTTTTCAAAAATGATTTGGCATATGTATGTTGTATGCCTTTAAACAATTTCTAGGAATTAAAGCAGGTTAAGTCCTAATAAGTAAAATTATTGTGGAAGGGTCGATCGGTATCAGCCAATTTTCAGCCCAAATATGTAACACGCCAATATCTCTTAGCAGGTCCTGAGAGCTGATCAATGACATAAAACATATGAGCCATATTTCACCTGAAGCGCCAGAATGTAACTGTGCCATCATTTGAGGTGGAACCAGAAAATCTGAACAAGAAGCTTCAGCTTCATGGAGAGTTCAAAGGCATTTTTGTTTTTGTTTTGTCCCGATTGCTAATGTTTGTGATGGCTAATCTCAACTGGTTAGCTTCATAGTAATAATTGTAGCAAAAGTTTGCTAACTGTTTTTTGTCTGTACAATGTTTGCAAAAGGTTTTATGGCCATGAAGATCAAAAGAAGTGTTGTTCGACTTGACAATGTGCGTCCATGAATTTGGAGGTCAGAGCTTCTGAAGGAGCACTGAAGGGAGGCGTATATTTGTTCTGCTGTTCAAAATCAACAATCGTTCTCTAGAATCACTCACTACACATTTGAATGGAGACATGAGTCTCTACAGGATGGAACAGTGGGCGTTTTGAAAGTTTGACGAGTATATCAAAAGGTCAGTGGCTGTGTCAAAAAGTGGACAGGAAGACAAAATAGGACATTGCAGCAAAATAGGTGGAATCATGCACGTAATTTCAAAGACTAGAAATTCTGTCTCTATCCCAAAAATATTCTAGTTATACATTAGCTTCTTCTTATTATTAGTCTTTGTTTTTTCAGATTTTTTCCAATTTTCATATCCGATTCCACCCACTAAATAGGACACCCCTAGTCAAACAATATCATCAGCAGTAGAAGGGGGAAGGCTATCACAGGCTTCTTCCTGTAAAGCTAGCAATCTCATCTTTTTGAACTGCCACAACACAACATCACTGGACAGCTGAACAAGCTTGGAAGAGAAAGCTAGTCACCAGTTCTGTTATGTCAGCTAACAGACACCTATGCATCACGCTGGGTGACAAGGGGAGAGGAGGGGCCATCCTCCCCACCCAGGAAGAGCAAGGCCAACTGTGCTCTCTTGGACTCCCAACCACGAATGGCTGTAGTGTCACCGGGGATCAAAAAGATGATTGCGCCATACGGGAGCTCCCTTCTGATTCTTCCAGGATCAATAACTCAAGAACCGCTTAACGTAGTGTTTTCTAAACTTTATACTTTTTAAGATATTAAAGAAAAACTAGCACAAATTTTCCAATAGATTTATAATGAGACATTGTAACATCATCTTCAGGTGTAAACTTGCTTGAATCAGTTCTTCAAGGTTTAAACTGACTTGAACCAGTTCTTCACTGTCAGTGCACCAATTTTAAGTCTTTCTTTTTCCTTGTCTCTCAATATAACTGTATTACTAGGAGTCTCCAGAACCTTTCACTCTATCTATCTATCTATCTATCTATCTATCTATCTACACTATTGTCATGCAATGTTAAGGTTTGAGTGAAAACTAGCTTTCTGTCAGGCATACGCATTATGTGCATTCTTATTGGATAGGCCAGATGACGTCAGGAAGAAAACAAACGGAGAGTGAAGCTAGAGTGTTGAGCTAAGTTAGTGCCTCTGCTAACGGCGTCTGTTCGCAACTTAAATAAAAAAGTGAAACCAAGACGACATTGACTGACCGCGCATTATTACAACTATATTGCCAAAAGTATTCACTCATCCATTCAAATCACTGAATTCAAGTGTTCCAATCATTTCTATGGCCACAGGTGTATAAAACCAAGCACCTAGGCATGCAGACTGCTTCTACAAACATTTGTGAATGAATGGGTTGCTCTCAGGAGCTCAGTGAATTCCAGCGTGGTACCGTGATAGAATGCCACCTGTGCAACAAGTCCAGTCAAGACAGTCAACTGTCAGTGGTATTATAACAAAGTGGAAGCGATTGTGAATGACAAAGTGGTAGGCCACGTAAAATGACAAAGTGGGGTCAGCGGATGCTGAGGCGCATAGTGCGGAGAGGTCGGCAACTTTCTGCAGAGTCAATTGCTACAGACCTCCAAACTTCATGCGGCCTTCAGATTAACTCAAGAACAGTGCGTAGAAAGCTTCACAGAATGGGTTTCCATGGTCGAGCAGCTGCATCCAAGCCTTACATCACCAAGCGCAATGCAAAGCGTCGAATGCAGTGGTGTAAAGCACGCCGCCACTGAACTCTGGAGCAGTGGAGATGTGTTCTCTGGAGTGACGAATCACGTTTCTCCGTCTGGCAATTCAATGGACGAGTCTGGGTTTGGCGGTTGCCAGGAGAACAGTACTTGTCTGACTGTATTGTGCCAAGTGTAAAGTTTGGTGGAGGGGGGGATTATGGTGTGGGGTTGTTTTTCAGGAGTTGTAGTTCCAGTGAAAGGAACTTAATCCTTCAGCATACCAAGAGATTCTGGACAATTTCATGCTCCCAACTTTGTGGGAACAGTTTGGGGATGGCCCCTTCCTGTTCCAACATGACAGAGCACCAGTGCACAAAGCAAGGTCCATAAAGACATGGATGAACGAGTTTGGTGTGGAAGAACTTGACTGGCCTGCACAGAGTCCTGACCTCAACCTGATAGAACACCTTCGGGATGAATTAGAGCGGAGAATGTGAGCCAGGCCTTCTCGTCCAACACCAGTGTCTGACCTCACAAATGCACTTCTGGAAAAATGGTCAAAAATTCCCATAAACACACTCCAAAACTTTGTGGAAAGCCTTTCCAGAAGAGTTGAAACTGTTATACTGCAAAGGGTGGGCCGACATCATATTAAACACAATGGATTAAGAATGGGATGTCACTCAAGTTCATATGCGTGTGAAGGCAGACAAGCAAATACTTTTGGCAATATAGTGTATCTATCTATCTATCTATCTATCTAGCTCACTATTTATTAATCTATTCCTCTACAACTCTCTATCTATCTACATTTTCTATGTATCTATCCATATATCTATTCCTCTACAACTCTCTATTTATAGCTCTACATTTATTTATCTATAGCTCTCTATTTATCTCTCTACAACTCTATCTATCCCTTTACAAGTCTCTATCTATCTATCGATCTATCTATCTATCTATCTATCTATCTATCTATCTATCGATCTATCTATCCCTCTACAACTCTCTATCTATCTTTTATCCCTTACTTTTGTCTATCTTTTGTAAACTATATTTAGAGTGATTGTGTAATGTGAGCAATCAAACTACTGTTACTGACCATAGTCAGTATGCACACCACAGTAAGTAAACACTCTGTAACCAAAAGTATTTATCTTGTATGATGACTATACACCACAGTCAGTATGCACACTGTAGCCAAAAGTCTTTGGAAACTACTCATATCATGAACATACACCACAGCCAGTAAACACCCTGTAGCCAAAAGTTTTTGGACACTGCTCTTACATCATGATCATAAACCACACACCAGTCTTTAGACAGCCTGTGGCCAAACGTTTTTGGACACTGCTCTTATATCATGATCATTCACCACAGTCAGTATTAACACTGTAGTTAAAAGTTTTTGAGCATCTATCTAAAATGTCTTTCAAGTCTTTAAATTTTTCTTTTTTTATTTAACTTTTTCTTATTTTATGCTTTGTATTTTTTGGTATTTCCTTCATACCAGTGAAGATTTTAATTAATTTCTAAGACTTACTAAGTGGATAATGTGCGTGTTTATAGAGGCCGCAACCATTTTTCGTCTCATTGTTTAGGTTTGCTTCGCAGTGGTATGGTCATAGACTAATATAAAAGCATTTAAACAGAGCTAAAATGCTGTATATGTGGGGTAGACCTGTTTACTGCTGCTGCAGCTGCTCACATCAAGTAGTCTCTGCCAAAATGCCAGTGATTTCTTTAATATTTATGCTTTAAAATGGAAGCAGATCTCGTACATACAGAGTGAATTTCATAGGCTCTGTTTATATTTAGCTAGCTATGCCAGCTAGAAGCCACTGTGAATAGTGACTGTTATCCAAAACTGTTATGTGGCTAACATAAAGCAGCTTTCTGCATAACATTTAGCAGTAATTTTTATACTCATGTCTTTAAAAAGCTAATGCTACAAGCAATAAACCATCAATAATGTAATTTCTCTAACACCGGCTTGTTATGAACAGCTAACATTAGCTGGCAAGTTATGTCAGACATGCCATGGCTCTCCCTCAACACAAACAACTAGTTATGTCAGAAAATGGAAATCAAAATGTCACAGCATAAATGCGATGCTAAGATACAAGCTGAGAGTCGTGTTTTCAAGCAGTGAAAGGTGGATGTTATCCGAAGTACTGGTGCTGTCAATCATCCCTCCAGCTCTAACACGTCCATGGACTCCAACTCCCAGAATCCTCTGGGACATCATGTGACTCCTGACCTTCCACCCTGTTCCAATCACCGTTCAGCCTTTAATCAGTTTCACCTGTTTCTGTCTTTGTTTGCCTAGTTAGAGTTGGTATAAAGCTTGGGCTTTTAGTTTAGTTCTTTAAGAGGCATGGCATCTTATGAGAGCTACTGAGCATTTAGTTTGGTGATTGGTATTTCTGGATCTAACTACTTTTCTGTGTTTTTGGACTTTGCCCATTTTGCCTTTGCC